CATTAAATCGCAGCAATCTGAACAAGTAGAAGACTCAATCTTTTAGAAATTAAAAATGACTTACTTACAAGAACTAATGTGATAATGCTCTTCATATCAGATAAAAGACATGAGAAAAATAGAATGTACGATATTTGATAAAGTATTGAACACTAGATATGTAAAGATATTTAGTATCAGAGACATGCAATGCACAAAAATGTTGGATGCTACAGATCCATCATAATTCTGTAAACAGTTTCAATTATAATTCACTTGCAATGCTACACTAATTTTTTTGTTTTGATTCATTACAAGATGTGTTTCCTGCACTCAATTAGGTTTTCAATGGATATATAACAGCAAGAATTCTGAGACTAGAATTTTTTTTAATTAAATGAGTTAATTCCTAGTTAATTACAAAAGAGGTATAACACTTTATTGGGTGAGTAGATAATATAAATGTATTGAAACATAATGAATACTTCTCTGAACTTCATTAGGCTTTCAAATACCCATTTCTATTTAATTATAACTAAATCACCACCATTTATTGCTGAGTTGGAAACACTTTCAAATAATAGCCTGGTTAGTACTGAATTAAAGCACAATCCAATGGAAGTCTCTACATAAAGACAAATGAATTAACTAGGAATAAATTTGTCACTATAAGTACTAGACGAGTTATTATAATTAAGTCTTTATTTCAAAATATGCAGAAACATTTAAAAACCTGTAGGCTCAAAACAAAAAGGTTGTATTTAAAAACTTAATTTTTGCTGTCATAAATGGTTTCTCATATCAGTGTTTTGCCTTAGACCATTTGTTATTTGAGCAGTTTTGTACTAAATTCTGGAGAAGGAAATGGCAACCCACTCCACTATTCTTGCCTATAGAATCCTGTGGACGGAGAAGCCTGGTGGGCTGTGTCCATAGGGTCGCAGAGTCAGACAGACACAACTGAAGCGACTTAGCATGCATGCATGCATTGGAGAAAGAAATGGCAACCCACTCCAGTATTCTTGCCTGGAGAATCCCAGGGACAGAGGAGCCTGGTGGGCTGACGTCTATGGGGTCACACAGAGTTGGACACGACTGAAGCGACTTAGCGGCAGCAGTGGCAGTACTAAATTCTCCAGGCCCCTAACTGAAAGATACTTCAACAGTTATAGATGAAAATAAAGTATAACTAATTTAAAGTGACTGAATTAAAAACATTCATCATTATAACAAAAATTATAATATACCATACTGGAAGAAAGTTTTAATTCAGTTTTCATACATTTGAAATATAAGTCCCTTATCAGATAGATAATTTCCAAATAACTGAATGCTACAGATTTTACTGCTCATCAACCACTAGAACATAGTGCCAAGATTACGTATGATTAATGGTCACAGCTCCATAGTGATATTTTAGTGATAATCTCAACCCAGTTACTAGACTAATTCAGTCTTCATTTGGCATTTATTTCTTGTGTTTGAAATGAACACTAGTAAGATAATTTTAAAATAAAATTGTAAATAGTATATGGTATTTAGAAAGATGGTAACGATAACCCTATGTGCAAAACAGAAAAAGAGACTCCTATGTATAGAACAGACTTGTGGACTCTGGGAGAAGGCGAGGGTGGGATGTTTCAAGAGAACAGCATTGAAACACGTATATTATCTAGGGTAAAACAGTTCACCAGCCCAGGTTGGGTGCATGAGACAAGTGCTCGGGCCTGGTGCACTGGGAAGACCCAGAGGGATTGGGTGGAGAAGGAGGTGGGAGGGGGGACCGGGATGGGGAATACATGTAAAAAAAAAAAAAAAGATACACTATGGTTGTGATAAAAAAAAAAATAAATAAATAAATAAATAAATAAATTAAAAAAAATAAATAAAAATAAAAAAAATAAAAAAACCTATCTCATTCAAAAAAAAAATTGTAAATAGTATATGTATCAATACAGAATACATTAAAATCCTAACTTCAATATTAAGTCCCTGATACTTTGCATAACAATAAAATTCCTTAAGGAAACTAGAGTAATGGAGAATTACAGTCTCCATAAATGGATTTTCTTCTTCTGTCTCTTAAGAAGTCTGTCAATGAGCATCATCATCAAGGAAAAGACTTTAAGGATTTCAAGGAAAAGAAGTATTCCACATCTCAAAGCAATCAAATAAGCCTCAAAGTTTTTCTCATATCTAACTAAACTTATGTATGTATGTTACTTCTATGTAGTCATCACAAGCACATATTCTGTTCAGAATATCTTCTTTATAAGAACGGTTCAACAGTTGAATCTGGAGACAGTTTCTGAAGCAGACTGATGAGTTTACATCAACCCATTCACATTATCTCTATTTAGTTTCCTATATTTTTATAGGATTCAGCAGCTAGTGATGGAGTCTTTGGGTCTAGGACACAGCAGTACTGACTGAGTGACACTGGTTTTTTTTGCCCTTTGCTTTTCTGACATCAACAGAGATAACTGGTCAAGTCCTTGCTTATCGTTTGTCTTTTGATTCCATACTACTCAACTGATTCACCCTAATCACAGACCCTGTGCTAATGGTTATTTTGAAGTCATCACTCAGCCACTATAGTAGAGAAAGTTCTAGTTTATTTTTGAGATTATTCATGAGGTTTTATATTCCCACAATTACATAGTTGTATGATGCTTTCCTGGACATGTTTCAGTGGGTTGCTGTCCCTTATATTAATAAATGTGGTCTATCAAACCAGACTTTATACTAATTAGCAAATAACCCTCCTCACTCCAAATGGAATTATCACTTGCTGCCCCTGATATTCCGACCCATTGCATTATTGTTGCTTTTGTTTAGTCACTAAGTTGTGTCTGACTCTTTGTGACCCCATGGACTGTAACCTGTCAGACTCCTCTGTCCATGGGATTTCTCAGGCAAGACTACTAGACTGAGTTGCCATTTCCTTCCTCCAGGGTATCTTCCTGCCCAGGGATCGAACCTGTGTCTCCTGCATTGGCAGGCATGTGTGTGTATCAGCTCAGTTCAGTCACTCAGTCGTGTCCGACTCTTTGCGACCCCATGGACTGTAGCACGCCAGGCCTCCCTGTCCATCACCAACTCCTGCAGTTTACTCAAACTCATGCCCATCGAGTCGGTGATGCCATCCAGCCATCTCATCCTCTGTTGTCCCCTTCTCCTCCTGTCCCCAATCCCTCCCACCATCGGGGTCTTTTTCAATGAGTCAACTCTTCGCATGAGGTGTCCAAAGTATTGGAGTTTCAGCTTCAGCATCAGTCCTGTCAATGAACACCCAGGACTGATCTCTTTTAGAATGGACTGGTTGGATCTCCTTGCAGTCCAAGGGACTCTCAAGAGTCTTCTCCAACACCACAGTTCAAAAGCATTAATTTTTCGGAGATCAGCTTTCTTCACAGTCCAACTCTCACATCCATACATGACCACTGGAAAAACTATAGCCTTGACCAGATGGACGTTTGTTGGCAAAGTAATGTCTCTGCTTTTTAATATGCTATCTAGGTTGGACATAACTTTCCTTCCAAGGAGTAAGCGTCTTTTACTCCTTTTTTTTTTTTAACTCCATTTTACTCCTTTTTACATGGCTGCAATCACCATCCACAGTGATTCTGGAGCCAAAAAAAATAAAGTCTGACACTGCTTCCACTGTCTCCCCATCTATTTCCCATAAGGTGATGGGACCAGATGCATGATCTTAGTTTTCTGAATGTTGAGCTTTAAGCCAACTTTTTCACTCTCCTCTTTCACTTTCATCAAGAGGCTTTTAGTTCCTCTTCACTTTCTGCCATAAGGGTGGTGTCATCTGCATATCTGAGGTTATTGATATTTCTCCCAGCGATCTTGATTCCAGATTGTGCTTCTTCCACCCCAGCGTTTCTCATGATGTATTGTGCATATAAGTTAAATAAGTAGGATAACAATACACAGTCTTGACATACTCCTTTTCCTATTTGGAACCAGTTTGTTGTTCCATGTGCAGTTCTAACTGTTGCTTCCTGACCTGCATACAGGTTTCTCAAGAGGCAGGACAGGTGGTCTGGTATTCCCATCTCCTTCAGAATTTTCCACAGTTTATTGTGATCCACACGGTCAAAGACTTTGGTGTAGTCAATAAAGCAGAAATAGATGTTTTTCTGGAACTCTCTTGCTTTTTTGATGATTCAGAGGATACTGCCAATTTGATCTCTGGTTCCTCTGCCTTTTCTAAAACCAGCTTGAACATCTGGAAGTTCTTGGTTCACGTATTGCTGAAGCCTGGCTTGGAGAATTTTGAGCATTAGTTTACTAGTGTGTGAGATGAGTGCAATTGTGTGGTAGTTTGAGCATTCTTTGGGATTGCCTTTCTTTGGGATTGGAATGAAAACTGACCTTTTCCAGTCCTGCGGCCACTGCTGAGTTTTCCACATTTTCTGACATATTTAGTGCAGCACTTTCACAGCATCATCTTTCAGGATTTGAAGTAGCTCAACTGGAATTCCATCACCTCCACTAGCTTTGTTCCTAGTGATGCTTTCTAAGGCCCACTTGACTTCAGATTCCAGGATGTCTGGCTCTAGGTGAGTGATCACACCATTGTGATTATCTGGGTCGTGAAGATCTTTTTTGTACAGTTCTGTGTATTTTTGCCACCTCTTCTTTTTTTTTTTTTTCAGAGTACAACAGCATTTAATGGTCAGAAATAGTTGTACAGTGTTACAATCAGCCACAGAAGCTGTGCTGGAGGACAGGACCCAGTCCACCCCACACCAGGCAAAGCAGTTTGGGGCAGGAGCTGGCACGTGGCTGGGCCACGTCCTCATCCCTGTGGCCTAAGGGGAGACCACCATTTAATATCCCCAGCTTCCACTACTCTTCAGAGGAGGGGGTTTAAGCCCCACATGCAAGAAGCCCTTGCCCCAGTGTCAGACGGGACGCAAGAGTTAGGATCAAGGGGAAACCCTGTGTAAGGTATCATGGAGCACGACGGGGCAGGGGTTACCCCGTCCTCCGTCACCCAGAGCTGCTCACTTTCCCAGTTTCTTCATCCGTTCGTCAGTGCTGGCAAAGTTCCCCTCAATTGTGGACAGGTTCTCACGCATCGTCTTCTGCACCTGAGTCAGGAGGGCGGCGCTGTCCTTGAGGGAACACGCGATCATCTGCCGCCTGGTGTCCAAGTGTGTCAGAAGCTGGCCAAACTGCACGGCTTCCTCACGCAGCTGCTTGATGGTGACGAGTCTCTGCACCAGCTCAGGAAGGGAGGTGGCGATGGGGCTCCAGCGCTGCATGGTCTCATATAGCTGGTGCACCTTGCTTTGTGTATCTGCATCCTCTACAGAAGCTTTATGCTTGGGAATTTCATTCACTTTTCCCAGCACGCTCTGTAACCGAGCCTCCACCTGGTCCAAAACCGCGAGGTCCAGCGCGCCCACCTTCGCCTGCAGCAGCTCTACAGTATCCGTGAGGCAGGCTCGCTGCAGACCTGCTGAAAGGGGATTCTGAGCATCCTGAGCACAGCGCACAGTGGCTTCCAGCTCCGTCAGGCGCTTCTCGAGTTCTGCCACTTTGGCAGCTTGAGAGAACTTGTCCTGCTCAGGCCGAGAATGCAGCTCGTAAGTGACCAGGCTGCTATCTGGGGCGCTCCCCCTGCTGGTCCTGCCCCCTGAACCAGTCCCTTTGCTGTCCTTTGTTGCTTCCAGCTGCAGCAGTAGGCGCTTAGCCAGAGCTCCATCGGGGTCAGTAAGGTTGATTGCGGCATCTGGTCCCAGCAGCTTCTCCAGATGGGAAGCAACCAGCTGCTGCTTCAGGGCAGCCAGCTGTTTAGCCAGCACCACGGGGATTAGCTTCTCCTCAGTGGTTGATTCCTTCACTGTTGTCTTGATTTTTTCAACTTCAGCTGTGAGCTCTTGGACCTCATGCAACAGTCTCTGGTACTTTTGCTGGGGTGTCTTCTTCACTCCCAGACCCTCTCCAAGCATCTCATATTCTCCAGATTCATATCCCGTTCTTTTGGTTTTTCCAATTCGATCTGAGAAATCAAGTCCCTTTGTGCCCACTCTCTTGTCTTTGAACTTGTCATAGGCAGCATTGGGATTGACAATGATGTGCTCCACACTGGTACTCGTCAGCTCCTCCGCATTAAACTCTGCTTGATCATCCTCAGGCAGGTCGCTGGTTTCATAAACATCTGGCTCGTTCCTGGCAATGGCGGGAAGGTCGGTGTACTTAGGGTCCGCCATGGCGGCGGCAAGGCAGGGTTGGGGGACCGGGGCTTCGGCAGAGCCGGGACCAGTGCTCGGGTTGGGGAGAGGATGGGTCCTGGTCCGGGCTAAGGCGGCCGCGAAGGGAGTGGCAGAGGAGCCTTGCCACCTCTTCTTAATATCTTCTGCTTCTGTTATGTCCATACCATTTCTATCCTTTATTGAGCCCATTTTTGCATGAAATGTTCCCTTGGTATCTCTAATTTTCTCGAGGAGATCTCTAGTCTTTCCCATTCTGTTGTTTTCCTCTATTTCTTTGCACTGATCACTGAGGAAGGGTTTTTTATCTCTCCTGGCTATTCTCTGGAACTCTGCATTCAAATGGGAATATCTTTTCTTTTCTCCTTTGCTTTTAGCTTCTGTTCATTTCACAGCTATTTGTAAGGCCTCCTCAGGCAGCCATTTTGCCTTTTTGCATTTCTTTTCCATGGAGATGTTCTTAATCCCTGTCTCCTCTATAATGTCACGAACCTCCGTCCATAGTTCATCAGGCTCTCTGTCTATCAGATCTAGTCCCTTAAATCTATTTCTCACTTCCACTGTATAGTCATAAGGGATTTGATTTAGGTCATACCTGAATGGTCTAGTGGTTATCTCTACTTTCTTCAGTTTAAGTCTGAATTTGGCAATAAGGAGTTCATGATCTGAGCCACATTCAGCTCCCGGTCTTGTTTTTGCTGACTGTATAGAGCTTCTCCATCTTTGGCTGCAAAGAATATAATCAATCTGATTTTGGTGTTGACCATCTGGTGATGTCCATGTGTAGAGTCTTTTCTTGTGTTGTTGCAAGAGGGTGTTTGCTATGACCAGTGCATTCAAGGCAAAATGATAGGATACTGAAAGAGAAACTCCCCAGGTTGGTAGGTGCCCAATATGCTACTGGAGATGAGTGGAGAAATAACTCCAGAAAGAATGAAAGAATGGAGCCAAAGTAAAAACAAAACCCAGTTGTAGATGGGACTGGTGATAAAACAAGGTCCAATGCTGTAAAGAGCAATATTGCATAGGAACCTGGAATGTTAAGTCCATGAATCAAGGCAAATTGGAAGTGGTGAAACAGGAGATGGCAAGAGTGAATGTCGACATTCTAGGAATCAGCAAACTAAAATGGACTGGAATGGGTGAATTTAACTCAGATGACCATTATATCTACTACTGTGGGCAGGAATCCCTTAGAAGAAATGGAATAGCCATCACAGTAAACAAAAGAGTCTGAAATGCAGTACTTGGATGCAATCTCTAAAACGACAGAATGATCTCTGTTTGTTTCCAAGGCAAACCATTCAATATCACAGTAATCCAAACCTATGTGTGTATACATACATACATACATACATACATACATACATACATACATACATATTACTACTGAGCCACTAGGGAAACCCCATTCCATTACAATATTGAGTTATCTCAATCTTTTGTCCATCTAACTCTCATGGCTGTATATGCTTGTGGAAACTAATTTCTTTACTTCTACACTTTCTCTACTGATAGGAAATCTTTGACCTGTACCTTTTTTTATGGTTTTACTTTTCTTAAAAATTACATCTGAAGCTCAGGTTTAAATTAGATCAGTATATGATTCTAGTCAAGGTGACACATGCATCTGCTTACAAAGTGAAGTGCCACAGATGGAATCTTAGTATACTAACTCTCATCTTGAGTGTAAACATGATTACATACAAGGAAATATTATTAAGACTAAAGAAAAGAAAGGAGAAAATCTTTATTTCTTATGATATTGCTGTAACACTATAGAATATAAGCACTGACATACAAGGTATTTCCTGAAATTTTTGTGAGCTTATTTACTTTATAACTTGTCACTACAGTTGCTACATCTTTTGGACAAAAACACTTTCCAAATTTCCTCTGCTGACTAAATAACATTCCTTATGCCATGCTATTGATTTTACAGGGCTACACTTTAGCTTCCTTCAGGCCATTTCCTCCAGGCTACTCTTTACTTCCTAAGGCAATAACCGTTTTTAATCTTGCCAACCAAGCAAGAGATGGCTTGCTGACAAGAACTCAGCTGCCAAGCCCCTGCCACACTCTTAGTTCTTCAATTGCACTCAAAGAGTAATGTGACAGATAAGCAGTAAACTTCTTGTTTTGTTTTCAGATTAACCTACTACTCATATTTCAGGGAAAAAGAAATTTCTTCATATGTGAAAAGATAGAGTATAGAAACTTTAGATAATTTAGGCTGCTTCCCTGGGGATCAAGAATTCCAAACCATGCATTTCTTTCCCTCAAACCTTCTTCAATTCTCACCACTTATGCATCCTTATGCTATCTCTAATAATCAAGGTGAAAAGTCCAGCTATATATAGATTGATTATGTATCCCACAAATTCATATGTTAAAAACTTAATACCTAAGGTGATGATACCACCGCCACAGAGTCAGGGCCTTTGGGAGGTGATTAGGTCATTGAGGCAGTCTTTGTGAATGGGATTAGTGTTCTTGTAAAAGAAGTCCCAGAGAAATATTTGCCCCTTCTACCACATGAGGACACAGCAATAAGTCAACAGTTTGCAACCCCAAAGAAGGCCTTCACAAGAACCCAACAATGCCTACATCCTTATTTTGTACTTCCAGCCTCCAGAACTGTGTTTTATAAGTGCCCAGACTGTGATATTTTGTTATAGCAGCCTGAACAGATGAAGACAGGTCCTCAGAATTATAATCACTTTTCTTTTCAATGGGAAAATGGAGGCCCCAAAGTGAGAATTTGTTTTAAAGTAAAATAATTCATGGCAAGAACCATGTTTATAGATATGAGAGCATAAGAAACAGAACAAATTATTTTTATATAAAAACACTTTGATTTTTAAATAATTCCTAATATAGCATGGGATAATATTTGTTGGAAAGATCAATTGAGAGATTATGGGCATCTGATAAATAACAAGTACATAATAATGGCATTCTATTATGATTCAATAAGAATAGCAAAACAATTAACAAATTGAAGCATCACTGTGGAAAGGTAACTCTATGTAGATTATGGTGTAATTCTTTTTCCTTTCTATTTTGAAAGGCTTATAGATTCACAGGTAATTGCAAAGAAATGTATAGAGCAGTCTCTAACATCCTTGTCCCGCCTCTCCCAACATTAACATCTTACATAAATATAATACAACATCAAAACCAAGTATTTGATATTGGTGATAATGATGGAGTTTCTTTCACACTTTACCAGTGCAGATGCACTAATTTGTGTGTGTGTGTATGCAGTTTTATCCCATGCATAGCTTCCTATGTCTACCACCACATGCTCTCTCTCCATTCCAAACCCTGCAACCCTTAATCTGTTTTCCATCTCTGTAATTTATTTCAAGAGTGTTGTGTAAATAGAATTCTATAGAATAAACTTTTGATATTATCTTTTTAAATTCAATATAATTTTTTTGAGACTTGTCCCAGTTTTTATATGTATAAGTAGTTTGTTCTTTTTATTGCTAAATACTATTCTGTGGAATTGATGTGTATTACAGTTGACTCATTGGAAAAGACTCTGATGCTGGGAGGGATTGGGGGCAGGAGGAGAAGGGGACGACAGAGGATGAGATGGCTAGATGGCATCACTGACTCGATGGACATGAGTTTGAGTAATCTCCGGGAGTTGGTGATGGACAGGGAGGCCTGGCGTGCTGCGATTCACGGGGTCGCAAAGAGTCAGACACGACTGAGCGACTGAACTGAACTGAACTGAACTGTGGTTTTAATTTTCATTTTCTTAATGGCAAATGATGTCAACCACCTTTTCATATGCTTATATGTCATACATAAATCTTCCTTGGTGAAAGGTCTCTTCATGTTTTTTGTCCATTTTACTGACTAGATTGTCTAGTTTTTTTTTTTTTTAAGTTGGCTTTTGAGAGTGCTTTACAATCTCTAGAAACTATTATTTTTTTAAACATGTTAATTTGAAAATATTTTCTCCCAGTCTTTAGCTTTTCAATTTATTCTCTTCACATAAGTTTCACAGTGAAATTTTAAAATTTTGATGAGACTCTCTCTTATGACTTTTAAAAAATGGATTGTGCTTTTGTTATCTAGTCTAAGATTTCCTTGCCTAGTGTCAGGTCCTGAAGAGTATCACTTATTTTTTTTTCCCCAAAGTTTTATAATTATGTTACATTTAACTCTGTGATTCATTGCCAATTAATTTTCCTGTAAGTATGAGGTTTTTTGGTATAAGTATGTCCAATTGCTACAGCACCATTTCTGTTGAAAACACTATACACCCTTCACTGATTTATTTATTTATTTTTGTCAAAAATCAATTTTGCATATTTGTGTGAGTCCCTTTCTTGGTTCTCTATTACACTGATCTATATGTTTATCTTTCCATTAGTACTATACTGTCTTGATTATAGTAAGAATATAGTAAGTTTTAAGACCAGTAAGAGTGATTCCTTTCACATTATTTTTCTTGTGAAAAACTGCTTCAGTTATTCCAGGGTTTATATATTGCCATGTAAATTTTAGAGTAAGTTTGTCTGTGGTTAAAAAAAATGCTGGAATTTTGATAGGAGCTTTAGATCAATTCAGGGAGAATTGACATCTTTACTATATTGAGTCTTCCCATCCATGAACACCATAAGTATATCTAGTTATACATGGCTTCTTTGAGCTCTCGATCAGCATTTCATAACTTAAAGCATATAGATTTGTGTACTGTTACATTTATACCTAAGTAGTTCATCTTGTTTGGGATAATTTTAAGTGTTATCGCATTTTATCTTGAATTCCAACAATCCTGCAGAACTCATAAATTCAAAGAATTTTTTTTGGTAGATATTTTTGTAAGTTTCTACATCAACATTAATGTACTCTGCAAATAAAAATAGTTTTCTGTTTTTTTCCAACTTGTATGTATTTTAATTATTTTTCTGGCTTTTTTTTTTTTTTTTTTTTTTGCTATTTAGAGCTTTCAGTTCAATGTTAAAAGTGGTCAGAGCATA